TCAATTAGAAGAATCTAAAACCAAATACATTAACTAAATGCAGTCGAGCAGGGAGCCATTAATAGATTCAAGCAATTAATTATATAGTAGAAAAATATAAGAATTTTAAAGAAAAAAGTTACGTACTACTTAATCAACGTGTTTGCTTTTTTTAATTACCAGGGCATCTTTTTCAGTTAATGAGGACGTATTAACATCTCATGACAAAGACTACTTTACTAAACCGTTCAGTCTTTATTTTTCTTCTTTTAATAAATAAAAAAAAAGTTAGTTGCATGCCTTTTCCCCTTGTATATTATTATGGTTGCAATATTTTCAGTTTAAATTATCACCCTAAGTAAAAGTATTTTATTAGTATATAGTGTAAGTTATATATATTGAAAATATAAAAATTCTTATACTATCAACACAAATAATTACTTAGCTATAACAGATTATTACTTTATTTTCTTAGTTAATGTATCGAGGTGCCATTTAATGTTACTGGTGGCTAAACTCAAACTTTAATAAAGGCCTTAGAAGGAGATTTTGATAGGACTCACATATATCATTATGTGATTTAAGAATCTGACCGAAACAAAAAAGCGAAATAAATAAAAAAGAATGTGTACTTCAAATTAATTACATAGCCAATTTGGACATTAATTAGTTGCTGAAAATCGAGTATTTGGAGTTGAAATTGAAAAGAATATTTCAAAATTGACGTTGTTTTTGGAAGACTTGAAATCGTGTAATAACAAAATTAGTCAAATAAATTATATACTTTGCACACAATATAATAGTACCTACTAATTAATTTTGGAGCGTCAAAATTTTTCGGCACTTGGTTTTAAGGTTAAGCTGGCACCAACTGCATCAAGCTTCATATGGAAGCCAACCAGTAGTGGAGGCAAGATTTTTATTAACAAAAATTAAAATATAAAAAGATAAATATTACAAAAACATAAAGGAGATTCAACTTATAGTATATATACATTAAAAAAATTACTTACCTACATAATGCCTTGTTCCCTCGAAAGGGTGTCAATTGACACACCTTGATATAAGTGGCTCCGCCACTAAGGTTAGGGTAACTTAATAGTTCAAATATTATTTACACCGTAGGTGTGCAGAAAATAATATATACTATATATTTTTTTTTGATTTCCCATCTGGTGTCTGATACTCGTATTGGAGCCCGACTATATTCGGATTCATGCTGGGTAAGGCCCCATTCGAGGGGAAGCGCTCCCTACCAAAGATTTTTCTATATCCAGGACTCGAATCCGAGACTTCTGGTTAAGAGAGGAGCTGCTCCATCCGTTGCACCACATCCTTTGGTGGTTACTTATGTTTGGCTTAATGTATGCATATTTTGATGTATATTGTTGTGCTCATGTCTAGTAGATTACGGATGTATAATATAATGATTTGTGCTAATTTATGGTACTTCTATATGTAGGAATCATTGGGATGTGATTTGGGACGAAAAATGTGCGAATTAGAGCGAAAATGGGAAGAAAAGGCAAAAGTGCACATTCGAGGGCCACAGGCAGCGTGGGGCGCTACCTGTGGCGCTCAAAACAGAATGCTAAAAAGTTAGCGCCATGGCCAGCGCCCCACGCTGTGCGGGACGCTCAAAACGTGAACATGTCTTATTTCGATAGGGACTCGGTTATTTCGACCCCAAGACGTCCCCAACTCATATAAAAGCCAACCTAAACCTATTTTGAGGGGTGGAACGTTTTTTAGAGTAACTCTTGACAAAGGGAGAGCACAGAGCCGCCGTGGAGGCCATGTTTCATCTTTTCTTCCACCAAACTTAGTAATTTTTATGTTTCTTTGTATGATTTGTTGTTTGGCTACCATGTCTATGTGGAGCTAAACTTCACGTTCTAGGGTTGTGGTTCTTTCATGACTATTGTTATTCGAATATTGATTTTGATTTCTTAGTTTATCATATTGGTATATTTATTCAATCCTGTGCTTAATTATTTGATTGCTTGATCACCAATTGAATACTATCTACGAATCTAGAGTTGAACTCGAAAGTGGGAATTCTAGATTGCATATAAGATTAAGTAGGGCAAGTTCTTTAACCTGGGCATCGGGGAATGGATTCGCGGTTAGGATAGACATACACCTAATTGCCTTGCTTGATTGATTTACAGGAATTACAAATGCGTTCTTGCTAGTTCTAATTCCATAGACATATAGGCATTAGGTTAGCTTGAATAGGCGAATAAGAACTCGACTGATTCTTATGAGCAATATTAACCCTATCAACTAATAACCAGATAAATTAAGTAGTCAATTCAATTGAAGAATACAATAGGATTGTTAGATAGCCCATAACCCTAGATCGTTTTCATCGCATTGGTAACATAAAAATCTGTTATCCTTTTGTTCAGGGTTCATTATTTGTTTTCTTGTTATTATAATCAGATTAGAGTCATATACTTCTAGGTTTAATTTTTATTTAAATAATTAGGATAGTCTAATTTTGTTAATAGTTAATCACAAGTCCTTGTGGGTTCGACATCCAACTTTTAGTCACTTTATTGCTTGACGACCACTTACGTGTGCGTTTGGTCACAACAGTTACTATGCAGTTAGTTTTAGAGAGGGATTAAATTAATGGAGGTAGTAGGAGTCAATGACGCTAACCCAGCAACATCAAGTTAAATACTAGAGGAACAATCCTACCTTTGTTTTAATGGAAATGTGAAGTCAACACTAGAGAAAATGGTCTTTAATGAATAGGTGTTGCACTATTTTGGTCCTTAGACATATACCACTTGCCATTATAGTCCTTCATGTATGGTGAGATTGAGTCAAGATTTGAAGTATATATATAGCTTCAGGATTCTAGTTCTTTTAAGTTACTAGATTCTAAACTAATAATATGTACATATTCAATAAATTTCTGAAAACAAATACAGAATTTGAATCAAAATTACTAGGTTCAGCCGAATCCGTAACCAGTCCACTAGCTCAGCCGCTGAGAGTATGCAAAAAAGTTAGATACTCATATATAGTCCTAAACCCTAAATATTAACGGTTAACCTCACAACATCTGTTAAAATAACTGAGAAACCAAATATGAGTTGTACCAAACTAATACGGATTATTGCCTTTTGGTACTAACACTGAACTGCAAACCCAACCGATCAACTAATTAAGAACTAAACAAAATATATATTGGAGATTAACCTCAAGATCATGGGTAAGTTCTATGTGCAACTCTTTAACGAGATCTTCTCCAAAATTTTCATCATAGTCCATAACCCGGTCACGAGGGACGTACGTATAATTTCTTGTAAGCAATGTCAATATTTATAAAAGAATAGAATAAATAACATTATTTATCACATTTCTAGACAGGGAGTAGCCTTAGACCAATGTTTTTGTTGAGTTTTAAATTAGAAGAGATCTAAAATTCAGTTTTACCTAACTACAATTTTTGATAATAGTGGTTCTTTCAACTGTTTGCCAAAAATATATTGTAGCTGAGGTTCGAACCTCCGACCTCTAAGAGCAAAATCAAAAATTTAACCAACGTGACAAGCAACAATTTGAGTCAAATTGTGTCTTTTTTTTTCTCTTGGTGTTGTCGCACAGTATCAATATGCGACACCGCTTTGTTTCACGTGCATCTACCCTTGCCCGTCACGGGTTCAAATCGTGGAAACACCCACTAATATTTATATTAGGGTCTGTTGTCTACATTATATTACACCTCTTGGAGTGCAGCATTTTCCCGGACTCAACGTAGGCTGCCTTTAGTCCATAAGCCAACATTTTCTATGAACCAAAATTGATGTGATACAAATTCTTGTTTGTTCCCCATCCTCTTAACAGTAACCATCAACAGTACCAAATCCACCAAGAACCAAAAAGATCATTTTCTCATGTTCAAACTAATAAACACATGGTAAATTTCAATCACTTTTCTAGCAAATCTTGATATTAATCAGTCTGTTTCATGCAAAAAAAAAAAAAAAAGATTTTTTCTTTTTCGAAGCAAAAAGACAAGATACTAATTAAATTGATTGCTTATTACAGTGAGTTAAGAATCACTGTCGAGTTCATGCAAAAAATAGAATAAGAGGTTCTAATTTCCACTCTTTGTTTGATCACGTATTCAGGAAAACGTCGCCATCGAATATAAAACTAAAAATCTAAACTAATTCATAAATTTTAGGTAGGCTGCATTTGCTCATTTTCTTTACTAGTTATTATAGCTGCTGGCCAACAGTATTAAATCTTATTTCCTAAATAGTACACGACATACTAGCTAATTAACACACCAAAAATGCACCATGCAGTTCTTGGTTGAATTTAAATTAGAGTTTAAGTTATATATATTGTCACTGTAACGAATTTTTACACCTTTACGTCCACACGCGAGGTTAGATGTTTGGGAGTGAAACTCACTAGTTTTTGTTCATACAGTGTATTTGTGTTAAAAAAAAATTATTAAATATGTACAAAAAAAATTTAAAACCTAGTTATTAGTACTTGAAGTCATCGTTTTAAAATTTAGAACCCATTATTATGTGGAAATTCTGGTTCCGCCCGTTGTTACAGATACTCTATTTTATTTTCAAGATTACAAATCTCGTATTTTAAGTAGGCTTACCAAAAAATATTTTTCGATGATCCGAAAGTTCTTTATATTGACGGTGTACAAAACTTAAAACTCATAATAAATAAATAAATCAACATCACTTCTTCTGTTGAGACATTGCATTCTATTTTTATAAACAGCACAAGTCCATTGACTTATTCTGCATGCTCTTGCTCGTACCTCTATATATTAACTACTCTTCAATTCAATAGTACCCCTTATTGAAAACCTTCTTAATATATATTTAATTTGCAGTGGACTAAATGAATGGTACAGTACTATATTCAATCATGGATATTTAGAAATCTTCTTTTCCTTCTCTTCTTCTTCATCCAAGAAACAAAGAGAGGGGATAGGTCGGGATTTATCAATCGAAGCAGTAGACAATATACCTTGATATTCTCGATCATTCTTTGATTCAACGCATCGCTACAGAAATGGTGAGTGATGGTAGCAATGATCGTCCTCAATATTTACAAGATTTTCTTTTAATTAAAGATGATGACAAATTCTTTTCAAGACTTTTATCTAAGGAAAATTCAAATAAAGGTGAGTCTTCTTTTAAGTTTTATTATTATGAAGGATCTTGTTCTAGTTCAATTCCATTTCATTGGGAATCTGAACCAGGTACACCTAAACATTCATTTGCAAATACTATTCTCAATCCTCCACTTACTCCTCCACCTTCATATCAATCAATTTCACACTTAAAATCTTTGCAAAAAGTTCATTCAAAACGCAAATTTTATCACTCTATTTTCTCAAAGAGAATTAATCATTCACCATCAATTATTTCTCCTACATCGTCTTGTTCGTCATCTTTTTCCATGTCTTCGATGCCATTGTTCGCGTATTCTAATCCAACGAACCTCCAGAGTTCGCGGAAGGGAGGTACTTCGCCAACTTCTACACACTGGTTTGGTTCAAGAACGGGAAATATGAAGCGTTTTCGAGTTAATTACTACTACTCTATGAAGAAAGTGAAGAAATTGTTGTTGTCATTTACTCGTATCCGTGCTTCTAGGAATATAAAATGATTGGAACAGACTCAGCTTTACTGTCAGCAGAAACAGATTCGGAATTTAGACTTCATGAATTAACAATAATTGCGTGTTCTCTCTCTATATGTATGTTTTTAATTTTTCTTTCACATATATACGTGGTTCGAGTCAGAAGCAATAAGTTCAGTAGAACCTACTGCGAGTGGCTAGATATATGCCACGGGTCACCATGTTGTTCATCTTGAGTGAATTGTAATGTGTTTCTAATTTCCTGCTCTAAATGTATGTTCAAAATATCCATGGAACAAATATGTCTAGATAAATTTCTCTTTTCTGTTTCATTGTTGTGATGGATACTGTCAAGATAAATTTGATACTATGTCTTGAATCGTTACTAATTAAAGTTTGAATTGTCTAATTTAGTCTTTACAATCTTTTCCTCAATTTATATATTTTCCCATTTATTTTCTAGATCTGTTCTTAACTTTGATCAAGGAAATTTCACGGATGAGAAGTATCAACAGGGTTTCCAATAATCTCCATTTTTTTCATTTTGTTCATGCAATTCAAAAGAAGAAGTTTGTAGGTAGAAACTTCAGAAAGAGTGGGACAGCTGAATATAATATATGATCAGTCAATCAAACAAGTTGGAAGTTTAATACATTGAGGTTCTTATGGTCAGAATTATCTATGCCGGTGGGAAGTAACAGGTAGCCAATGAAATAATCGAAACGTGCGTACATTAATTTGAACACCACCGTCATAAAAAATAAAAATAAAACATGCCAAACAACAGAAAACACAAGTTGCGAAATAGCTCTTTCTTGCCTCTTCAAATACTGTCAATATGTCTGTTGGAAATTTTAAAAAGAGAAAAGAGCCCGGAACCTATTAATCCAATAAAGATAGTTCGGTTGGTTTGATTCCCAATATAATAGAGTTTATCTTAGCCAATATTAATATCCAATAGATTGTTTAACTGATTTCATAGAAAAATGTCACGAGCGGGAAAGAGATAGGGGAGGGGGAGCTGGTTGTAATTGAGACACGTTTTTCGGATGGACGATATGGATTTTTTCGAGATAGTTAACCACTTTTTTAACCGTGAGAGGGTGGATGTAATTCAGCCCGAACGAACTGAGAGGGAGGTCATTCAGAACCCGCTGGCTCCAGAACGAGGGGGGGAGGGTGGGTCAGAACCTGCTGGCTCCTGTTCGTGCCCTTGTGGTGCTGCATGGACTCAAGTGATTTCTGTAGTCGTGCATGGAGCTTGTTTGCTGAGCTCCTGTTCGTGCCCTTTTGGTTTTGTTGTGTTGCAGAAAGTTGGGGGTGACCTTTCTCTTCTGGGAGAGGCCGTGGGCATTATTCCCTCATCATGAGTGTCATAGCCTTCGTTGATAGCGTTCATGAGGTTGAAGGGAACGTTATCTATTGCCCTCATTCTGTTTCCTTGGTTACCTGCCATAAAAAATTTGTACGCACATAAAAGAGAGATAAACCTTGTGGTTTGTTAGATTAACAAGTCAAGTGAGTTATAGATCTAATGAAAACTAAAAGATTGGATGAGAAAATCCCCACAGACGGTACCAAAGTATTTGACCCAAAATTTAGATCTAGGTTTAAACAATTATATTTTCTAATATAACAGAGTTAATCTTAGCCAATATTTATATCCAAAAGATTGTTTAATTAATTTGTAGCAAAATGTCACGAGTTCCGTTCATATAGCAATGAATGTGCAACAGTAAACAATATTCAATGTCCCAAGAACAAAGAGTATAACATTGAATAGTAATAAATGATATATAATGGTATTTATGTAAATAAATGCAAGCGAGTTTACCGAAAAGGGGTGAGATTCTTTGATATTTCTCCTGACAATGATAAATGATTGGTGAACATTTGAATATTCGGATTCTCCTTAGATCGTGGGAGAAAAGTTAGACAACAATCTAAAGAAAGGTATATTTTGTATGTATGTAATAAAGCAAGGATCTTCAAAGAATGTCAATGTGTTGTTCTTTACAATGAATGTCCTATCCCCCTTATAGCTACATATCTTTCTATTTATAAAGGCCCACACAAAAACCTTAATAGTAAATATGGGAGGAATATCCCCTAGAATATTCTCTACAATGTCTTATCTCTAAAACTTGCTGTTACTGCCTTTTTAAAAGGAGTGCTCGTCCTCGTCCCTCTGCTGACTCACCTCGACCTCGTCTTCGTCCTTTGTTGAAAATACATCGATGACGCTTGGCATCCTTTCAAGGCTCCCTTAATGTTGACTTGGCCCACACATAATTAGGATATTTTTTAGCCCATACAGTTAGTCCCTCCACTTGATGAGGTCGTCTTCGTGGGCGAGTTCAACGAGCGGATAATAGCATTCATGGTCATCTTTGTGGTCGAGTTCACTGAACAGATAACAGCGGTCGTGACCGTCGTGACAAACAGGCGATGTGGCTCTTTGTCGACCGTATGTTTCAAACCTCCAAATTTCCCGGGCAATTTGTTGGAATCATCTGTCCAAGAGAAGAAGTGACGTTAAGACGTCATGCGTCATGATAATGTCGATCCCCAACGCATCGCGTCGATTCATATGTGACCTTTGATTGGTTCTGCCGTTTCGATTATAGTGCCAACTGTGATGAACCGTTTCAGATTTGGTGCCTTAATATCTATAAATAGGGATTGTTTCTTCATTATTTGAACTTTACTTCCTTTGATACTATCCTTGCTCTCATAAACTCCGTTCCTTTTCTTGAATTTTCTTTACCTTCTAAGTTTTACCTTTTTTTCATAATCCCATCTTCCTTCATAACCATGCCTAACATTGCTTCTAATGTTGATGAAGAGAAGGACGTCGTTGCCGTCGCAGAAGATGAAGCTCTTCCTTCAGTGGAGGAGACCATCTCTCGCAACCCTGAGGCTAGTTCCGATATTCAACGGTTGCCGGACGCGACGCCCGGGAAATTTTTATCGTCGATGGCGACTAGGCACTTGGCTGAATTCAAAGCCAAGTTTGGCCTTCCCAACCACGTTGAATTGATCCCCGTCGGTGAGGACGAATTGCACGTTCACCGTCCTGGGTATTGTGCTCTTTATGCCTACTTGTTTACCATTGGTTACTCGTCCCCCCTTCTCGCGCTGGTGGAGGAGTTTTGCCGCCATTATAGTGTTTGCTCCGCTTAGCTCGCCCTTTTGTTTATAAGGTCATCAAATGCTATCAACATTTGGTGAACTTGACAGAGTCGAGGTCACAGTGCGGCACTTGGTGCATCTGTTTGCAACTAGCTTCTGTAGAGGGAAGATGTTGAACCTGTTTCATGGGGGCAAATGCTTGGTGGAGAAAATGGACGATAAGGGTAATCAACAATTCTGGCTCGACTACTTCTATGTCAAGACTGAGGCCGTTTTGGCTAATGTCGACGGTTTCCCTGAGGCCTGGAACTACACACGTAAGTGTTTGAGTTTTTTTAATTATTATTATTATTATTATTTTGTTTTTACCTTTTGAAGCACTTTGTTCATCTCAAATTGGCCGAATACTTCTTCTCTCCCTACGGCTAGTAGTCGTCTTCCTCCCCTGGCGATATGTATCGTTGACTGGGTCTAGCAGGTTCTTCCTCACACCATGAGAATTCACGACTGGCCGAGCTTCTTTAAGAAGTTCAGACCGGCCCTCCCCTCGACAGCTAATTTTTCTCTTCTGGTCGTGATCGTATTTTGTATTGGCTTACGACGTTATAAACCCCTATGTTTTTTTCTTTTTTTAGGTTCAGTCAGGGGGACTTCAAGAAGGAATAAGGCGCTTGTGCCACGTTTAGGAGGAGAAGGGCCGCTACACCTTCTGCCTCTGCCTCCTTACGACTGCCGCGCCTTCCCTCTCCGTACCCCTCTCAACTACTGCGCCCGCTACTTAAGCGTTTTCACTCATCGATGAAGATGATGAAGTCCCTTCCATTGATGGGGATCTAAGGCCCCGCAAGATGAAGACAGTAGACGTAGGAGGGGGTTCCCTTAGTCGTTGATTCACTAGAGTGTGATTTCACCCTTCAGAAAACAACGACGATACATATCGGAGATGACGTTGGGGCGACATCCGAGGTAAAACAACTGGTAGAGGCTACTAAGGGCGTGCCCTTATGCCCCGAGGAGGAGATGGTTGTGGAGAGATGGTTATCGTTGGCTCTACGCCAGCAAGTCAAGAGGAGGCCTCAACTTCCAGGTCGGCGGCGGATGCTCCTCCGGCCGACGAGAGCAATGGAAAGGACGTCGTTGTTGAGGGCGATAAGTCAGGTTTTGACATGGACCCTGACGACCTTAAGATGATTGATGAGGGGATCACTCAAATCAAGGTGAGGATGGAGGGAGGATCAAGGACCATCACGATCCCAATGGATCATGATTTGCTGAGAAGCACCAAGGAGGTGGTCCCCGCTCTCGGCCCTCTTTGTTCCAATGCCTAGGGTGTGACCCTTAAGGAGATTTGACAATACTGTGTTAAAGAACCTTACCGGTCTTGCTCTCAGGGTAAGTATGGTTGTTGTTCGTTCTCTTTTGCTTTGTCTTAACTTGTTCCTAAGTTTAAACTTTTGCCTTTTTCTTTGATTTGCAGACGGTCATTCTGGAAATTGAGAGTGCTCGGAGGGAGAAAAGACGTAAATAAATTTATGTAAAGTTGAAGGGTAAGTACGAATAGTACCATGGAAAGTACCGAGACCTTCAGAGGCGGCTTCACGAGGAGGGCGACGTGCCGGCCTTGAGAGAAGAACTGAAGAAAAAGGACGAGGAGCTAATGGAGACTGTGGAGAGATTCAGTGTTCTTGAGGGAGCATTGAAGAGAAAGGAAGAAGAGCTCGAGCTAAGTAAGGGCTTGGAGGCCCAGTGCAACGACCTTCGGACTCAACTAGTTCAAATGCGAAGCCAATTGGACGGATGCCATCTCGAAATCGACACTCTTAGGGGGAGGTCGCTGAGAAGCAACGGATACTCGAGCAGGCAGAGTCTTCTCGATTGGATGCTCAAAGAAATATTGACATTCTCGAGCTGGAAAACAGGACTCTCTGTTCCGAATGGGATAATGATTTGTCAACGGCCAAGGAAAAAGAGGACCGGCTTGAGGAGAGGATTCGAGAGTTGGGCAAGACAAACTCCGAGCTGCATGATCGAGTTGCTGCTCTTGAGGCCGAGTAGGTGCAACTACTTGTGTGGCCCTCTGTTTCTAATGCTTCTGAGTATTAGCATTCCACAAAATCTATACGAGGAGTAGATCCATGCTCAAGCCCAGACGGATGTGCTCTATTATTTGAATAAGGTGGGCTCTATTTCTAAGATAGCCCTCGAGGATGCTCGAGTCAAAGCTCGTGAGGCTCGACTCACTTGTTATTACAATCCTGCCAAGCCTCAACCTGG